CCTAGCGTGCGAAAGCACATTAGCATTAGAAATGTTATGGCTAGGACAACCGCGAAATAGCAGCTTATGGAGATGGCACATCTGTTGCATTCCCACGACCACCCAACTCTAGATATGGTCGAACTCGGCCTGCCCTTGATAAACGTGATGCTAGCGTGCGAGTCAAATGGGACTCGTGAGCAGGGTGAGCCTGCAATATTCAGCCTCGATAGTGAGAAAGAGGGGTCTTCCTCTACATCACCCGCCCCAGCTGCACTTAGGGTGCACGAGCAGAGAAGGCATTTCCCAATAAGAATGCCTGAGTATTTAGTTGCGCGCTTCATCATAAGCAGTATTGGAAAACTTTCTTTACGGCAGAGCCGACTGTCGGCTGCACCCTGTTGCAAAGGCCTTCCCCTTGGTCGAGTGAATGCCGTCTTGGAGAAGAGAGATGCCGAAAAGTAGCGGCAAAAATGAAAAACAAATTTAGCTCGAAATCCCCCATGAAAGGATTTCTGGTTTGAGGCAGCTTCTGTTGAGCGCACGGGTATCTTGCCGCCACAGTTACATCGAAACTTCCTTCAAAGAGTCTGTGCTGGGATTTCTCGAATTAGTTCCTAGGGAACACCCACTTGAAAGGCTCGCACATCCATACAGTGTGGACGTCTTCTCAAAAAAATATCTTCAAGTTGTGATCTTCATCGGTCGTATGGTGTCGTGCCTCGTTCCCTCGTTCGTGTTGCTTTTCGAATCGGCGCCATAGCGTACCAGATGCATGCAGGCCGTCTCCACCGATAGTGTTTCAAAGCAACTATGAGGCAATCATTAGTACAAAAGCCAATTTTCAAGTCCATTCCAGAAATGCTGGATTGCTCTTTAAAGGGGATGTGCAAAGTTGCTACTGCGTCGCGCGCGCCGGGGCCTCTTTGCATAATCAGTCAACGTTTCTTGTCTTACTAACCGCGCCCTGTTTTTACCGCGTCAGAGTCCTCTTGTAACTTTTTTTTGCGTCTTGTTTTATACATCAGCCTCTCAACCTCCTTGATTTAGTTCTGCTATTTGGACGTATCACTTGAGCCTGGACACTGAGCACGATGTAGTTAGTCACAAAGCTGCTCCTGTTTCGATGACGCAATCCATAGAAAGACTCTACATGGTGAAGGGCAATATTTGATGGAGTGAAGGGTTAGAAATCAGGGAAAGTTGGGGTGACTTCCTCTGAAATTAGGAAGGCCAAGACGACTGCCCCAGATGTTCGTCCACTGCCAATACGAGGAATAACTGATGGTCTCACCGACGCAGCGAAGCAACATGATTCTGCAGCTCAGTGGCAACCCAAAGCATCAACCAGCATTGACACACAGCTACCGGCAGAAACTGTGAAGCTCTTCTCTAGCCGTCGTTGGCTGCTCTTTATGCTTAGCATCGGACAGCTAGGGTGCAACTCAAATGGTCTCGGGAAAGCTCTCCAGTGATCTTCACAAAGTGCTTGTTTCTTCTCATGGGGCATTTTCCCATGCATACAAGGTTCCCATAGAAATTACTCCGATGCCTTTAGTCCAGAAAAAGCACCCACTATACCCCTGTAAAAAAGTACTCCTATGAGGGGAGGATGCACTGTATTTGCTCCCACTTTCTAATATCGCCCATTCAGAGCACTGCTAATTCTTTCCTGTGCGAGACACCAAATCTTGGCACTTCAACGTCCTGCCAGTCGAACTTGCAGGTCCCTAACGGCAAAAGCGACCGGCAAGTTGATGGAATGGACGAAAGCAAAAGCAGGGTGCAAGGCCCGAGGGAAATAGCGGAGAAATATTGAAGAAGGCAAGGGAGCGAATTGGTACTCTGTTTTGCACGAGTAAGAAGAAGGAATAACCGACTTCGTCCCAACAAAAGACAACAGAGTTCATCTAACGACCACAAATACGGACGTCATGGTGTATTTTGAATGAAAGGTCAAAGGTGACCTAGCGAAAAACTGCCCCCAGGCTCGCAGGCCAGGCAAAACCTGCAAGGCGCGTGCTGGTGAAGGCAAGTAAGACACGCGTCGTGCCACTTTCCACGCCACGGCAAAAGTACTACAGCTAGCGGCACTAATAGGCCCCAAAGCGCAGCACAGCACCGACCGAATTTCAACAGAATTGCTCTGAGTTTGCGGCCTACCTGCCAGCTACGCACCAGCGACAGGTCTGGTGGCTGCAGTGTGCCGTTGCCAAAGAACGGCAGGCCAACAAAGTCGGCGCATGTTTCAGTCAGAAGCCCCTGCAGCAAAAGCAGTGATATGCAAGCAGTATGGGATGTACAATAGTGCCAAAGCCTTGAGTTACAAGAGGGAACCGTAGCTCACCGGAGGTAAAGCTAGCCAGCACTACAACTGCGAGCACGCAAGCCAAGGGAGAGGACGAGGCGGGCAAACAGCGTGAAGCCCTCAAAAGTGGTGAACTAGAACCCACATGGTGGCTTCCATGCGAGCAATAGTTTGCGGAAGTGGCATATGAGGGCTTGGGTCTCCTGTGAAGTTTGGATAAAACAACTGTGATCGCCCGTTGGCATACTTCGACAAGAAAGTAAATTGCTTGTGGACACAGGAGCATCGCACAATTTTGTCAGCCCGATCGCTATTGAGCGGTTAGAGCACCTGGCCCCCTGCCTATGCAAGACAGTCGTTTCTTCATAGCTGAAAGGGAGCAAGAAGAAATCGGCAACGTGGTAACGAAACTGATTATGTGCTATCGGACAGGGTGCCTTCTGAGACCTACCTTAAAGCTTTATCTAAGGGCTAGATTGTCTAACGGACTGTAAGGCGCCCCGCAATTTCCATTTCGGTAGGTCAAAAACGTGCGTGAACAATCGATGGCGGGACATACCAATGAAGCGAGCGTAAGGGGGAAAGCCCACTGCAAACAGTCACAAAAAGACCAAACGGGTGTGTTTGATGGTTGCAACAAAAGCAGATACACTCATTCGCCTCAGCCCCCAAATTTTACAAGGCCTTCTGCAAAACCAAGCATAGGGCACTCAGCTACTGCGCAAGGCTCAGGATCACACGACAAACTGTGCCGAATGCATTACATGAACTCTACACCATCCTAACTTTACCATAAGTTTGCAAGCTTTTCGCCATTTACCTGCTCGAAGAAGTCACAAAACGCTTCGGTGTGCATTAGGCAAGCATCACTGTAAGACCCTTAAGGCGTAGCCACCCCACCACTGGCCTCCCAACACGGGGAGGCTGGCAAGAATTCGTCACCTTGGCCCACCGCTACCCTCGACTACAGGGTACAGGCACTTCAAATAGTGAATTAAATTATACGAAGTGCGGAAAATACCTCACCTCAGGTGCTCGAAGAGTATCAAGCAGAGTATCAAGCAGCGTGCACAGCTAGTCAAACACCAGGGCTACCACATTAAAGACGTTCGCATAACCAGCACAAGCTACTGATGCCACGCAAGCTCCCTTGTAAAGCCTTAATGTACAGTGTTCTACCAGCATTCCACCAGGAAGAACAGTGACACTACCAGCTAATGGTTGGATAAAATTGATTTATTCCCTCACATGTGCGCCGACTATCGTGGTTAACAATGAAGAGAACGGTTCAAAGATGAACGAGACTGTACGTGTACGTTGTCGTCAAATCTCACGCATTATACAGGCTCACAATTGTTCTTAAGTGTCCTATGCTCCAAGTTTAAGCTATTCTAGAGGCGCTAGGGGCAGCAAAATATCTCTCTTCACGTGCTTTTGTAGCGGGTTTTCATCAGATTAGCAACGCCAAGAACGACTGCCGAAAGAAGACACTTAGGGCTATGTCGTTTGGTATCAAGGGTACCATGGCCACCTCGCCAACTTACATCAGCATTTGGCTCTCACTAGTGTGCTTGCTCACTTCAGCCATAGCATCTGTTCTGAAGGCATCAAACCAGTCGCTGAGAAGGAACCCGCTAAACGGGTGTGGCCACAGGTGCTGACTAGTGAAACACATAAACAACGATTTCTCGGTACTGTCAGCCACTGCTGCATGCTCCGCGGTCCTGAGCTTGCGGACGTTTTCCGCCCGTGTGTTTCCCTTACACATCCAGGCATCCTGTGTCACTCAACAAAACTCTATACATAGCGCGGATCACAAGTACCGCTTAAACAATTGTACGACTGTACAGATTCCCAACAGCACGAAAGCCCTTCGAACTATAAGATGACCCGACCGGCTAAGCAAAAGGAACGATTCTCGAGGAAGAGCGGAAGCCAATCTTACCCCTCAGCTAGCTTACGTACCTAGATCAGCAGAAATGTTCGCCCTAGGACTAAGAAGTTACCCTTACTGGACAATTGATCTCATTAGTTACGCGAGTGGCCTCACCCATTGCGCCCGCTGAGGTTCCAGCGTACGCTTCATCACTGCGTCTATTAATTCACTGCTTTACCTGCTCGATGATGTGAACATCACGAGCCTAAACGCGAAGCGATGGCATAACATGGATCAAAATCTTGGCGGCTTCTCGGTAGAAGCCGCTGCCACGAGTGGGAGTGCGGAGGGCGCTGCGTTGCAGAAACTCTGACTGCTCAGTCCGCCACCCTGCTCTTAGATTGTTGAAAAATGCTCAGCTCATAAAATTTGCGGTTCACCAAATACGAAAGAAATTGCGCATTCTTCTACATAGAACGCCAGTGCCGTGGGGCGCCATGCGTGCAGGCGCTTCATCCAGATCACTGAAAATATGGTCAGACACGCTAGAACGATCTGTTAGGTATATCGTCAGAGCTACACATCAATATATTGTACGAAGCCGCTGGCACAGAAGAAATGTGTATCCAGTGCGAAGCACACAAACCTGTACTATGAAGTCAGAGGGTCCCCTCTCAAGCTGAATGCGTTCCAGCACCCTGCCAGCGTTCTCCTGCAGTGGGTCCAAATGACCAATGTCGAATGCATCTCTGCAAAAACAGGCTTCTTCAAGTAGCAATGGCTCATATAGGCCACCCCGAAATGAAATGCACATCCTATGCTCATACTAGCACAAAATTAGTGGCCATACTTCATGAATCGTAATTCATCTTCCCTCCAGGGATTGTATTGGCTCGCCCTGAATGGCCTGGGGCTATGCGGGAAGCAAAAGAGCAGGCGCTTTAACTCTACTACCTCCTCGACGTTGGGGCGCGTTCCTGTTTTGTAGATATTCAGTGCATTAAGTAAGCGGTGCGCAAATTGTGCGTTGAGCCCTGGACGAAGTTGGCGTTTTCGCCCTCTCTGATGGTCGTAGGAAATATCGAAAGCGCTGATGAATTTTCCCCACCACAGAGGTACTTGCATGGCATCTCCGAGGAGCTGGACTGTGCAAACTATGTAGTCGAATGCCAAGAATGCATGCCCGAGAGCAGCAACTGCCAGAGAAGGCCGAATAGGCATAGTCCTGTTCTGCATCTGAGTCCATATAACGTCGACTAAGCCTTCCACCGTACGGACGAGAGTGTCTGTGTCTTCTTGGTTCAGAATACTTTTGGCAAACAGCCTGCGCAAAGTAAGGAAGTGAGACCACGTCGAGACATTCGTCCACATCCTGGAGAAAAGAGATTCTGACTGAAATCTTCTGATGAAGATATTGGGCTCCAGCACTGGCAAACGGACAAAAGGATGATTTGTAATGTCCGATGGCCCTTTCACCTGTCCCGCCTCATAGAACGGCACCGTTGCCAAAGCTGACGTTGACGGCTCCCCATCAATGCGCGAAGGATATGAGCCATGTTGCACTTTATTTTGATCAAATAAAAACATCGGATGTGTAAGTGGCCAGCTAGAATGCTGCAAAGGAGAAAGATGCTCATTAGACGCATCGGCTTCCACAGAAGGCATAAGAGTATCAGTGTGCAGAGGCGCATTATCACCCTCTTTCAACTGGCAATTGCTTTGACTACCAGCTGCACCTTCCGATGCGGTCATGGCCTCTGTACTGCGGAACAGCGTCCAGGTGGAGGCCTCTTTCAAAGACGGTGCAGAGGCGTGGACGTGCTCATGGTCTGCTGCAGCTTCCCTTAACATTGATGCTATTTCCGCCACCTTCCTTCCCCGTTCTATATCGGAGTGAGTCCCTGATAGTGGGAGTATTATGCCCATATCTGCCTCCAGTGATGCACACTGCTCTGCAATAAGCGATAGCTCTTCATCGGGTTCGCTCTTGTTTGCAGACAGCCGGCGCCGTATTGCCCCTGATTGCTGCTCCCGGTTGTGGGGGGCTTTGCAAATGACCCACAAAACAAGAGCTGAGAAAACGGAAATAGTCGCAGCCAATGAGACGAGGAATTGTCTATTTCGAAGCCTCGTGGGGGAGCGGCGCCCGGTTTGGCCGCTATGAACTGGTGGAATCGCAGTGTCTCGACCTGACAATGGAAAAAATAAAACTGTGGGATCTTGAGATACACCATAGTGGGGCTCTGAATGTACCGAGTTCAGTGTTTCACTATGCTGCTCACTTGCACGTCGATTCCTGTCCAGAGCAATTACAGGCACCATCGCCGTGGTGCTACGCACTACACTTGGGCTCAATAGCCGCCATAAAAGTGGAGCAAGAGTAGCGCTATGAACAGATTAAGGGAGATTTAATCTAGGAAGTACTAAAGGTGGAGGTCCAATGGTACCGAGCCTCTACAGCTTCGGAAGCGAGGCCGAAGTTTAGGGCTGGCAGCAAATGGCAATGCTCACGCCTAACCCCGCTGATGAGACTACACAATTCTTTGTTTGTTTGTCTTGCGAATTTCCACGCTCATAAAGGGCCAGCATTCGAGCTAACGACTTTTTTGTGACTGCCTAAAGACCTTTGTTTTGCGGTGCGTCTTTTTTAGACGACCCTGTAGTAGCAACGAAACAGACGTATCGCATGTACTGGTGATCCAACGGCTGTACAGCCCACCTGAGAATCAAACAAATTGAGACCATAATCTGCCGTAAATGCCTTTTACTGGCCCCAATGAAATAGATGAAGGCCAGGCCAGAGGATTCGTACGGCCTTCTCTGGATTGTGTGAAGCGTTGAGTAACAGGGTGATGATTGTCCTAGATGCTCAACTCTGTCAGCCTGTCTCGGTCAGTGATAAGTTTTAACCGCAATGTTTTTTAATTATTTTTATCCTTGGTAATGTGATTTTCGCTTCGTGGCGACTAGTCTCATAAGTAGCGAGGGAGAAAGGAAGGCGAATTATGGCATCTTGGCTGGTGCGCTGCGACATGTGCATACTCGCCTTGAGGAGCATATCAGTTGTTTCTGGTACACACAGGACTAGCTCGAAAAAAGAACCCGCTCGGTGTGCATTGATCCTTAGTGGATTATATGTGTGGAGGATGCACGGTTTTTTTCTCTAGTCCCTTTTCCTCTTGCAGCAAGATGGAGAGCCAGAAACAAGACACGCTCAGCCATGGTGCTTCAAGAACCTCTTCCTTGAAGGCTAAGAGCCACACACTCGATCGCCTTGTTCCGGAAAGACCTGCACGAGGTCAGCATGTATGCGCCGCTTTAATGGTTTGAGCACTGCTGAAGCATGTTGCTGACCGTTCGTGTTTTCAGTTGCCCAGGCGTGCACTCAGCAAAATACTCTGTGCATGGTAAGTCACTGGAAATTCGCCTATCCACAAAGCAAAGTGGCTATTGAAGTAAGTACTGCGACACGGAATTGAGCCGCGTTGAATCTTCTGATAAACATAACCGTGTAACCTTGCAATTTTTTGAGGCGCTGAAGAGGAGTACGCGCAACTCTCGCACTAGACGTGGAAAAGACCCCCTTTCTGTGGGACTGTTAGTGTCGTGGACGGATATGCATGCAGGCGGATTGCCGAGGTGCAACTGCAACGATGCCGCAGTCTCGCACCACGCACACGCGCTTCACAGCGCGTTACGGTGGCTTATCAAGTGGACAGTGTACGCTGATGCATCATTGGATGGACAAGGCGTTGGAATTTCGTGCAGATCAGGGTAGTCTTGCTGAGCTACTGCTGTGCTATTTGACTCTCGTGCGGCATTTGGGGCAGAAACACAGGAAGCATAGGCCACGTTGAGCCACATGCCAGCGTATTCTACACGTCAGTCGCCCTCGTGCTCATGCTGTACCGAACAGTGTGTAGACTTGGTCGGAGCGCTTCACCACTGCATCTGTTAATTCACTGCTTTACCTGCTCGATGATGTGAACATCACGAGCCTAAACGCGGAGCGATGGCATAACATGGATCAAAATCTTCGCGGCTTCTCGGTAGAAGCCGCTGCCACGAGTGACGAGTGGCAGTGCGGAGAATAACACTGGGTTGCAGGAACTCTGACTGCTCAGTCTGTCACCCTGCTCTTTGATTATTGAAAAATGGTCAGCGCATAAAACTTGCGGTTCACCAAATACGAGAGAAACTGCGCGTTCTTCTACATAGAACGCCAGTGCCGTGGGGCGCCATGCGTGCAGGCGCTTCATCCAGATGACTGAAAATATGGTCAGACACGCTAGAACGATCTGTTAGGTATCGTTAGAGCTACACATCAATATATTGTACGAAGCCGCTGGCACAGAAGAAATGTGTATCCAATGCGAAGCACATAAACCTGTACTACAAATTCAGAGGGTCGCCTCTCAAGCTGAACGCGCTCCAGTACCGTGCCAGTGTTCTCCTGCATTGGGTCCAAATTGCCAACGTCGAATGCATCTCTGCAAAAAGCAGGCTTTTTCAAGTAGAAAGGCTCATAAAGGCCACCCCAGAATGAAATGCACATCCTCTGCTTATACCAGCACAACATTAGTGGCCGTATTTCATGAAATTTTTATCATCTTCCCTCCAGGGATCATAATGGCTGTCCCTGAAGGGCTTGGGGCTATGCGGGAAGCAAAAGAGCAGGCGCTTTAACTCTACTACCTCCTCGACGTTGGGGCGCGTTCCTGTTTTGTAGATATTGAGTACATCAAGTAGGCGCTTCGATATGTATGTGTTAAATACGACACGCTCTCGGTGATTGGAAGATAAACAATCGACGGAATAGTCAGTGGGGAAAACGCTGATGAATTTTTCCCACCACAGAGGTAACTGCATGGCATCTCCGAAAAGCTGGATTGCGCTTACTATGTAGTCGAATGCTAAGAATGCTTGCCCTAAAGCAGCAGCTGCTAGCGCAGGCTGGGTCCGTCTAGCTTTGTTCAGAAACTGAATCCATACATCGTCGATTAGTTTTTCCAATGTACGCATGAGAATGTTTACATCTTCTTGGTTAAGAGTAGCCTTGGCAAACAAGCTGCGAATGATCAGAAAGTGATTCCATACTGAGACATTCGTCCATAGCCTAGAAAAAAAACCCTCTGTCCGGATTTCCCTCAAACGAACATTGGGTTCCAGCACGGGTACACGTGCAAAAGGATGATCTGCAATGTCCCACGCCCCTACAGCCCTCGCCTCAGGATACTGCTGGGTCACCGACGCTGATGTTGACGGCTCCCCATCTTGTTGTTCGTCAGCTAGGCTCGATGGAGATGTGTCGCTTTCCTGATCTTCCAGCTCACTGGAAGTGCTGGGAGATATGCGTACCCAGCCAAAAGGTTCCAAAGCGGCAAGATATTCCTCAGACGCATCAGCTTCCGCAGAAGACATAAGAGGATCAATCTGCGAAGGCAAATCCCCACCGTCTTCAAACCGGTAAGTGCTTTGACTACCCGCTGCATTTTTGGCCAGAGCCATGACCGTTGTCTCTGGGGATGGCGTTGTGCTGGAGGCCTCTTCCAAAGATACTGCCATGGCGGCGACCTGCTCATGGGCTGCTGCAGCTTCCCGTAACATTGATGCTAGTTTCGCTATCTTCCTTCGTGGATGCATGTCAGAGAGAGTCTCTGGTAATGGGCGCACAACGCCCATCTCTGCCTCCAGTGCTGCACACTGATCTGCAATAAGGGACAACTCTTCTTCATCGGCTTTGCGTTTACTGGCAGCAAGGCGGCGCCTCAGTGCCCCTGATTGCTGTTCTTTGCTGTGGGAGGCTTTGCAAATGGCCCACAAAAAAAAAACTGAGAAAACAGAAATAGCGGCAGCCAATGAGACGAGCATTTTCCGGCTCAGATCCCATGATTGGGGACGCAGCCGGTGGTTGTCTGGAAGGCCTCGACAATTTCGAGTGGGGCGGCCCGAATATGGGGGAAGCAACAATGTGGCTTCGTCAGCCGCATACTTGTGCTCTTGTGGAAACGAAAATTTCAATGAATGCTCAAGATGCTCGTTTCTTTGCCAGTGTTTTACTTGAGTAAAGGCGGGCAGCATTCCCGGTTCGACGTTGTCTAATGAAAGGCGTTTCAAGTTAAGCTGAGGTGATGTTTTGAGGGAATTTTACCTCTCAAAAACAGATAAAAAGAAATAAAAGCAAAGTAGCTTATGGTATCTTAGCTGAGGTAGAGTTTCTCCTCGGTGCCTTAGCAATGCCGAACGGCCATGCCGACGTGGAGTCCCACCATGGCAGTCTTCGATACGCCTGGAGCAACGCTCTCAGTGTTCCCTTTGAAAGATGAAGGGATTTTGTTTACTCACTAAAAATGAAATTAATATGAAATGCGAGGGTGACCGTCGGAACACAATGATGTTTCGCCCAGAACATTCAATGAGCCTTTTTGTAGTTGCTGCAACAAACAAAACTGTCTTGAGTTCTGCCTAGTCATGTTATCGCTTCCAAGAAGAAGTAATTTAATTCATGTAACATCAAGTCTCTTTCTTAATGAGCTAAGAACGAATATTGCATGCATAAAAAATGCAACGCTTCTTTGTTCCACCAGCGAGCCTGACAAAAGGCAATTTCATCCTCAGTGCCTTAGGGTCGCTGAGGCCGTTACATTCAATATTGAGCCTATACTCCCGCTGCTTTCAATAAATTAATAGAGGTAATCACTTCATCAGCGCTTTTAACTGCTGTGTTTGTGAGTGTACACTGGCACACTCTGATGTTGTCCTCCAATTATGATATGTGCTTTCCTGCAGTACCATTTAAACCCTTTAGGTGGTATCCCATGTCATACTGGCTTCTCAATCTGGGGCTCTGTGGCATGTTTGGACTTGAAAGGGGCAGCACGTTCTAGACCACAGCATAGAAACATGGAAGCTAACCTTTTCCCCAAGGTGCTTACGTTGTCAGCACTACAACTCAACACTAGTAGTGCAAGGCCCTTATCAAGGAGTCGGTTGAATCGGGCCACAATGCCCACCAAGCATCAAACGCGCCGACTCTGTCTTGTACGAACGAATTGTGGAGCAAGAGACACTTTGGAGTGCGCTCCTTGCATTAGAGACAGTGAAGGATGCTGCTTATGTAATTAGAAGCTTGAGTAAACGGTAGAGCGGAGTCTGGTTATGGCTGAATTCCTTCAGGATCTAACAAAGCTAATAAGTGTTTCGCCAAGTCTCCGGTGCTACCAGCACCTGTGCAAATCACCACGTGTTTTCAGCCAATATTGCCACTGGCGTGGCAACATTGGCTGACAGTCTCACAGTCCGTTTTCTTTTTCTTTAAGGAAGTTGAGTCGATAAGTGGAGACTAATGATGCGATGGCTATCCAGCTAAGTGCGGGCTAATACCAGTCAACGCGTGGAGCACTTGGAGCCTCAGCAGTGTTCACACCAGCTTTGAACAGTCGGCTGCGATAGCTTAGCATGCTTCGGACTAATGTGTGGAGTGAAGCTGGGTGAAGCATTGCAGCGCGAGGGTTGGCGCATCTCTGCAGCACGATTGTACGTGCGACCAGCCCGCGAGCGAGCTTTTGCAATGCAAGTGGGAGGCAGCGTGGTTGCACAGGGGGGCAGACAGGCAATAGTTACAAACGAGCGCTGGATCTACTTTAAGGGCCAGTATCTTGTGGTTACAGGCTTAATGAAGTAGTGTTCCAAGGACAAGAACAAGCACGTAGCTCAGAAAACGGTAAGGAGGCCGTGAGCGAAGTCGCCGCTTCATGTGCCCTCCCTGTACCTGTTGATTTCAGAATGCATAGCATACTTAAAACGCCTGAAAGTGTATTAAAGAGCAAGCAGCGCTAAAATTGAAGCTCAAGGTGGCTGCGCAATGCCGCCATCCGCTTGCACCGTTTCCCTGTAAGCCTTCATGCTTTACTCTGATCTAGGGCCTTTAGTAACGGCCTGTTGGTTCCCATATTCCCAAAAAAACCGAGTTCTATTCTTCTTCTTGTCCATTATATTTTTCTGTATCCTTTAGCAGGCACCCTAGTTGTTTGACCCCATTGTCGAAGGAGCGTTCCGGCGGGACAAGTTTGCCGTGACGTGAGCTGAATATGCCGGATTAATCCACTCAGAATCTTAGGATAGGCGATTAAAAACGTATATTTGAGAATCTTTCCTGGAAAGGGAACAGGCTGAGATCCTAGGACTGATGTACTTACGCACAGTTAAAATGATAGTGCCTGTGAAAAGGTTTTATAGCACCCAAATGTATGTGGGAATTGGAAAGAGGTGTCTTGGAAAGAAACTTCAGCACACATTCTTAATCATCATACACAGAGACTGTCATAGCAAACTAGGGTATAGGCCAAACGCTTAAATCCATCTGGTCCGTGGCAGTGGTCCAGCATTGGGCCGACAACAGGTGTCGCCCGAGTTTTGTCCATGTATTCACCCCTATGTCTTCCTCCTAGCCCACATAATCAAACCATTCAAGCAATAGTGAGATAGTAGCATCCTCAACAGTGGAAGGGAAAACTGGAGCTGTCTGTTCGGCAGGGCTTGCTGGAAGGCTCCCCTGGGCGCATGAAGGCACCCCAGAAGTAACAGTAAGGCAACCTTCTGGTCAGTTGTGGTAAACGTTCATTTTCCCCTTCATGAATCATTCAAATTGTGGAACATGAGTGAAATGGCAAACAATAACGTTCCTCTAAGCTGACATTCGAACAGCGGTCCATCAGACAATCAACTACTGCGGGATGCCGCTCATATCAGTTCTGGGCAGGCGCAGCCCATGCAAAGAGCAACCCGATGAATCATTGAAATTACCATTTCCACAACACCACGCTAATGCAGTTGATCAAGAGATAAGAGGTTTTCCTCCCCACCTTTGCCAGGCTGCTAAGACTGTAGCTGCTCATGCAGACAAGCACAAGAGTATCTCAAGAACACGTCGCCGGAATCGGCCACTCCTGGTCTCGCTGGTTTCCACTGTTTCTCTTGTAGCCATCATAATGCTGTGGTATTTATGCAAAGCCTTCCGCAGCACCAAACAAGCGTCAGGAGACACAACTCGCAGGCTCTCTTACAAGGCAACACAGGAAGACGGGGATGAGATGTCGCGTATCTTGGAGCAATGCTTGGAAATGGAGGAGGATTTGGGAATTTTCTTTTCAAGACCTCAATCGCCTCTGGGCACTGAGCCGCCGGCAAAGATAGCGAAGTTGGTGTCGATGTTAAGTAAGGCTGCAACCCAGCATGAACGGATGGTGAAGGTAGCATCGACGTCGCATGAAACCTCCACTCGATCTGTGAAGATCCTACCGTACAGTTCTTCGTTGCAAGCTTTCACTGGAAATAACGAAGCTATCCCTGCCCCAAATTTACAGCCTTGTCGTTGTGTAACTATGACATCGGGCTCCACTGGAGCTCAAGGAGGACAGGAAACTGCCAGCACAACTTTGGACAACGCCGGAAAGCCGCATTGCGGGCGGAGAACATCCTCGTCACTAGAGACTCCACCGTCTACAGGAGGAAAAAGTGAACCAAACAAACAAAGAAATAAGCTCGAACACCCTTATGTGCGCCTGCCAGTGCTGGAGTCAGATGTTATACCGAGAATGGTCCAGCCAACACTCGTTTTTCGTCCAGATCACGCAAATACCCTTTCCTATTCTGAACTACATACATTGCGGAATTTGTTTGCAAAAGAAAAGCTCAACCAACATGATGCGGATACGCTCGTTGTTGAGTTAGAGAATTTGGCTTCTAGATTTTGGTGTCTGGCGCAGCGTGGCTTCGAAAAGACCTCTCCCACTTTCGCCAGTGCGACCTTGGGGGGATATTTTCTCGCATTTGACTTCATAGTTCGTGCAAACGAGGTCCTCGGGGACTCCATGCAATTATCCGCTTGGTGGGGAAAATTCATCTCAGCCTTCGAAACCGATTACTCATTCACCCCACCGAGCAAGTTCTCCAGGATCGCTACAAGATTTCACGGGAAACTGGCAGCTCGCTTGCTTGACGCGCTTAGAATCTACAAATCAGGGAAACGGCCACCTGTGGATGATGTTATTGAGATAAAGCGGATGTTGTTGTTCTCGCCCCATTCGTCGCCGCTATTCAAGGATATTCAGTGGGACACTTGGAGAGCTGATGACTACCATTATCATAAGTTCCCTCCACATATATTTGACATGTTCGTATGAGGGAAAAGCACATGAGGAATGCACCTTTGGCTAGCATCCTTTGCAGCTTTCTCCAGAGTTTGCGTCTTCCCTAACCACAGATTTGGCTTCACAGACGCTGCAGCGAAGCACTGAGGATTTTTCCAAACACAAATGGAATTCTTCGTGACATTTATGTTGGCAAGCGAACCGTGCGTCATTGCATCTGTCTAGTACATCAGTACTTTTAAGGCTCACTTCAGTATTACCATTTGTTTAGAAGGTGCTGCCTCATGCGACCCACCAAATAAGAGGCTGCACTTTGAAGACAAAAGACTGAAGTGACCTTTTCATGAGGCAAAGCGTGTCATTCCACTTTCAGCTGCAGATAATTTTGCGGCAGCTGCTCTTTGTTGAACTCTTCCGGTGCAGTGTTTCGCGGGCAGCCAGCACAGGACATGTACCACTTCACGCACAGGAAGGCAAAGCCTTTCAAAAAAAGATTCAGCAGCCGGCATGCAGGTAGTCCGCTGGTTGTTCGTAATTGGCATGAGCATTTCGTCTTTTTCAAAGCTTCCCTTCAGAAAGCGGCCTGTTATATTGGTATATATCTACTATGATTTCTGCTATGGAGTACCTGGTGAAGGAGCATCAGTGAACCGTCCAAGATGCAGCAGGCATGACGGAGAACCGCTTTAGCACCATGCATCAAACTGTTTCAAGCAATTTAAGAACGCATCTGGAGCTCCATATTCAACAAAAGTGGGAAGCCATTTAGGTAATGAGAATGCGGAAGATGAATCCCACAGCGGCCTCGCTGGGCATCATAAAATTCCACTTCAGTTTTGCGAGTGCTATGAGCGTAGCAAACAGGCCCACTGTACGAAGCAAAGAGAAGACGATTTCAGGATTAGTCCAAAGGGTGTACGTACGTGACAGGGTAGCTGGTGAAGTAAGAGCGGAATATTCCAGCCGTTCAGCCGACTATTCGAACACTTTGAGATCTAAGCAGGTGTGGGTGATGTAAATTATGTATTACGAACACAGATGTGGTTATTTCTACATCTGTGCCCGCCGTGAATTTTATTTGAAGTGGCCTGTGCATGCTTCACCAAATTTCGTTATGAATTCATTTTAAAATGGTTTTGGCATAAGAAATACTGGAAGCAAGGGCAAGCTCGCGAACAAAGTTGCAGCCCGTTGCTTTGACAGATCAGTCGTTGTGTGCAGGAATGCACCAGTCGCCTTGTGCAGGAGTAATCCCTGGTGATGGGGCATTGTTTCCTGTAGACGCGGTACATGCCGTGCTTTGATATTCAAAGAACTGGAACAGGCTTTGAAGCTAATTTTGCGCACAGGTGCAGGTATGCAGTTCATAAGATCTTCCTGGTGCCTCACGCGCTTGGCTGGCTTGATACGAGTAAGTGTTGTCACGTTGTGCCGGGATTTGATATCAGTAGCATCCCAAATCTTACCTAGAGAATCACGTAAGGCACGCAGGGCGCTGACAAAGCGCTTTGCAGAGATCAACGGGACCACAGTGTCGTGCTTCTGTAGTCATGATAGTTTAGAGCTACTTTACCTCCAGATATCCCAACAGCTGGACTAGTTCTCGCTATGCGAGCAATTCATCCAGCCATAAAAATGTAGTAGCTTCAAGGCTTTCTGAATACATAGAGGGAACAAGAGCGTGGAGCACGTCTATCGAAGAAGCTCCGCAAGTGTGGAATGGAGCCAGCCGTTGAAGCCGGCAAAATAAGATTTTAATATCCATAAATGGCAACAAGCTTCTTGACAATCGCATTTGTGTCTTATTGGACCAGAATCGAAATCTCTCCAGGAAAGGAAATAGTCATTGGTTTTGGATTGCGATTGAAGAGCGAAGATGACTCCAATATTATAACCCTCTTCCGCCTCTTCCATTTTATCGTTTTTGCCTCCATCATCATACAAATCCCTCTTCGACACCTTAATTGCTAGCATTAGCAAAGGTTACAGAAGCCTCCCAGGCCCGTACTCCGGGCTGGTGTCACGCGCTTCCCATACCAGGACACGCTCAAAAGTGCTTGAATTAGTTGAGATGTGACACAATATATATTCTTTAATTGTTTGAATGGTAGAGAAAACACAGTCCACGTTGGATCTCCTCTGCATTCGAGCAGCAGTCCATTGGACACTTGACCACTCCGGAATGCTGTTCCCATCTCCCAGCAAGGAAAACCAACGTCAGAAATGTCTTGAAGGACACGTGCACTTGCCCCTGGCACGCATTGACAGTTATGTATCTAAAGACGGTGCAATACCTTTGTTTTCCTCTTTTCCTGGGCAGTCTGCTGGAACCGCATTAGCCCATGCAGGCACACGACGACGCTCTAGCGCCCGGCGTTGGAGATGGTCGACCCTCTTCGGATGGACAGCCAGATTCTTAGTTTTTGCCATTGTAATGTTTTGGTCCATATGCAAAGCCTCCCGTAGCACGAAACAAGCATCAGGAGGGATAGCTCGAAGGCTCTCTTACGGGACAAGGGGAGGAGACGAGGAGATGGCGCGTATCGTGGAACAATGCATAGAGATGGAAGAGGATTTGGGAATTTCTGCATCAAGATCCCCATCACCCTTGAACACTGAACCGTCTGCAAAGATAGCAAGGCTAGTGTCGATGTTAAGCGAGGCTGCAACCGCGTATGAACGCATGACGGCTGTGGTATCGACGTCATATGACCCTTCCACCGTGGCAGCTTCTTACTACCAAGAAGAAGAAAACTCATCCCAGCAAGCGCTGGGATGTCCTTATTTTTTCCAGCACGAAAGCGCGCTGGAAATGTTACCGCACACTTCTTCGTTGCTTACTCCCATTGGGAACAGCGAAACTAGCCCTGCCCCAAATTTATGGCCCTATACTTGTCGAACTATGATTCCAGGCGCCACAGGAACTCAAGGAGGACAGGGAACTGCCAGCGCAACTTTGGACAACACCGGAAAGCCGCATTTCGAACCGAGTACATCCTTGTCTTTAGAGATGCCACCGCCTCTTGGAGGAAGAACCAATCTCCAGGGACACTCGAATATTCTCCAACACCCTTATGTGAGCCGGCCAGTGTTGGAGTCGAATGTCGTGCCAAGATTGGTCCAGCCAGCAGTCATTTTTCGTCGAGTTCACGCAACTAGCATTTCCTTTTATGAACTACATAGGTTGCGGAATTTGTTTGCAAAAGAAAGGCTCAACCAGCAGGATGCGGATTTGCTCGTTGGTTCAATAGAGAATTTAGCTGCTAGATATTGGTCTATTGCGCAGCGTGGCATGCAAAGGACCTCTCCTGCTTTCGCTAATGCGACCTTGGGAGCATATTTTCTGGCATTTGACTTTATAGTTCGTGCAATCGAGGTCCTCGGGGATTCCATGCAATTATCCGCTTGGTGGGGGAAATTCGTCTCAGCCTTTAAAATCGACTATAGTTTGTTTCCTGAAAGGCGGCACTGCAGGGTCAGTACAAAGTTCCAAAGGGAACTGGCGAACCGCTTGCTTGGTGCGCTGAAAATTTACATAACGGGAAGGGCCCCTCCTGCGGAAGATGTGGTTGAGCTGAAACGGATGTTATTTTTTTCTCCCCACGCGCCACCGGTATTTAAGAATGCTCAGTTTGAAGAATTCAGAGACCAAGATGATGATTTTTCATGCAAGATCGCGAGACTTTTCCACATTTAGTATGAATAATGGGCATATGGAAAGTGTGTGTCGCGATACATTTCCATATTTGTGCGAATAGTGGGCATGTGAAGAATGCGTCATGACCTTAAGCACCGCTTACTGCAGCAGTGCCGAAGCGTGCAACACAAGCGAAAGGCGCCAGAGCACATTTGCTGCAAGCATGATGTGGTTGAAGGCCGCCGCGACCTATTAGTGGCCCTTACCTGTGTGTTGTACATGAGTGCTTGTGGGGTCGATGTTTTGGCCAACCGTCGGTTGAGGAGGTGCTACCTGGCAAGCCACACCAATTATTTTATAAGTGGCATCGTTTCGAAAGGGGCGACTGATAGTAGCCCCTCAAGAGACAAAACGCGGCTTTCTATTTGGAGCCCCAGCTAATTTGCGGCATCGGCCGCTCGGCACAAACTATTTTAGTACTGTGTTTTTTTGTCCAGCATGACTAGCGGCATTCATCCATTCACCTTCTGCCGGGCGAACGAGATGCCGGAATCGATATGTAGGGAGCTCGCACGCTGATCACAGCAAGCAAGCACTTTTCTAATTCAGCCAAGCAGCTTCACTTCGGAAACTGGTCCAGAAACTTAGTCTTAACTTCCGCACGAAGTATAATGGCTCACTAACGCCGTCAGGAAGCTCAATTTCCACTGCACAGAGAGGCTTCCACTAAAAGTTTACTTCTTCAATTGGCGCCAGCTGAGTGTTGTCCAGCGCCGCGTAAGTACTCAAGGCAGCAAAGGGCAGGGCAGCAGAGAGCAAGGCCGACAGTTCCTGTGTTTTTCCGGCATTGCCTCATCAATTCGACAAGCCAGCGTTAGTGCATTCGTGGTAGATGTTGTAGCCAAAGTAGCCGCTCTGCCTGCCAGAGACCTAGCGGCTGTATTGAACTTGTTCTGAAGGACCTTAAGTCTTTGCAGCAAGCTACATCATTGAGACACTCGTAAAATGCACCGAAGAATGCTGAAGCCGTTCAAAGGCACAATTGCCCGTGCGGCCAGTTGTGCGAGCGACAAGTTGCAGACAGTGCCTGCATACCAACGAGGCCCTTCAGGAAACTCACGCACCAAGCGCTGCTTGGCGTATTATAAGTGAGTCAGTTTTGAAGAAATGTGGGATGCCCCACAGTGCATATACTTGAACAGTACCCAGCATGAACACTAACTCAGGGGACTCGTGGGAACTTGCAGTATCAGTGCGGGGCATCCACCTATGCTGTACTACTGCAACCGTTGCACAACTGCGGCTTCTGCTGCCGCAGAAACTTAGAGCTCCAGCTGTCCATAGGGGATGCCAATGTTTTTTTCTTAACTCATTAGACCCCCAATGTTCTCCGCTTTGCTTGAGGCTACTATTGTCGCAGCTGGTCCTGCTTCTGATGACATTACCTTTGCTGATGCAGTTAGGGCACCATTCGCGTCTAATTAGATGCGGTTCAAAGCTTTTTGACTCATAGAGACCTCTGCTGTGTCCTGTAGCTGCACCACTGGCACTGCAGGTGAGATAGCCGCCGAAATTGGTACAAACCTTGCATAAAGGATGATGCGGACCTTCACGGCAGCACTCGACCGCTCTCTGTAGCTGTTTTGAGCTTTAAGACATTCATGTCCGCTAGCCCCACCAAGCAAGTCGCGAAGGCAACTGCTTCGCCGGAGGCTCCTAAGAGAGAGCGATGGTATTACGCTGTTCTGGAGCTCCCTTTGCTGATAGGGCATTTTGCTTCGGTGTCGCCTTCACGCGCGGAGGAGAGAACTACAACTATTTATATAGTCCTGCCGCCCTAAAGGCGAGACCATGCATACATGACTCCACGTAGGCGGTGGAGGTACGACCGCAAGCCAGGCCAGCTGTAGTTCACAGGCACTGCAATAGAGCTTACTGGTGACCTAGAGAAGATAGCTAGCTGGCGACCTACAAGAGGTCAAAACACGGAACGATGACAGGACCCTCTTACTAGGATCGAAGTAAGGCAATTTATCGGCAAATTAACGTGAATACACTAGACGTGTCTGTAAATACCTTGAGATTAAGGCTGGCGATAGTGCCGACACCGGTGCAGGCCTCCTCTCCACAGGGCCTAGGAGGCGAGAACCCGGAGTGGGGGGGATTTTCAAGAAAACATATTTTGAAAAACTAAAGATAACTGCGTTTTGTGATATTTGGATTACTGTTTCAAGGAAATGCGCCGAAGGTAGACTGTAATCATAGACCCCTACTCGTGGGGCAGGTAGAAGGGTGGTCGCAGCAGTAGGTGCTGTGCACTACACCAGTAGTATCCGTGCTCATTACGACGAACACGTTCTTTTGGCCGCCGTGCCCAGTCCACGTGGTTGCGGTGCTTAAAGAGCACGCGAAAAACGAGTTGAGGAGCTTAGGATACGCATATTCCACATCCACCACAAAGGCATGGATACGAGTAAAGGCGTTGGGAGCGCAAGGGAAACGTGGTGACTGAGATATTCTTCGAGAACACGTCAGCAGCCTGCTGTGAAACATCTGCATGTGTTATACTGGAGACTATACGATTGCCATAGGCATTTTCCTTTACGCATGGGTAGATTGTGGAAGAGGAGCAGTGTTAGAATTCACAAATGTTGGAGGCAGTGGAGAAGGTGCGTGGCACATGGTCTACCTAAACAGGACTGTGCGGACTGGACACTCCAGTCTGCGCAATTTGGAATGCTGGATTTGGTCTAGGGCTCAGGCACACAAGCCCCCACGCCACCACAAAATCAGCTGCCGTCTGCGGGGCCTATGCTTCTGCTTGAGAGGTTATGCCGTCCTGACGGAGCGCGCCAGTAGACTCGAAGGAGTGATATTGCTGCCGCCTAAATGCCATGCCCACAATATCTTGGTGAAGATGTCGGAACAGTGAGTCTGCGGCGTTGTTGATCGCACCCTGCAAAAAAGTAATGATAAGGTCCCACAATTCTTTCGGGAAATCCAGCTATCTAGCCTTCTTTTCACGCAGTGCATTGGAGCTGCTCATAGGCTGTGTGTATGTCAAAGGGTGTTTTCGGTGTGTGGCGGGACATTCTGTAGAGCACAGCGTTCACTGCTGCTACTACGTTACTACCTCGCCCACGAATAAGGCGCGTTTCTCACAAATCTTCTACAGTCGACACATATCTTATAAATCAATACCAAATAATCAATAAGCCTTCATCCTTCGAGTCTGTCAGTCGAACTTTCCTAAAATGCAAAGGGTCATAGTTCTTGCGTCCTTGACCCGGTCGGGGCGGTGGCATGCACCGGTGCCGGCGTCATCGCCAGCGCCAATCTAAGGGTATTATTGATAGTTTTTTTTTCAAAATCTGTTTTCTTGAAAATCCACCCCACTCGCGGTTCTTGCCTCCTAGGCCTTATGGGGAGGAGGCCTGCACCGGTGCCGGCGCTATTGCCAGCCCCAATCTCCGGGTATTTACAGGCACGTCTAGTGTATTCAAGCTAATTCGCCGACAAATTGGCTTACTTCGATCCTAGTAAGAGGGTCCTGTCGTCTTTCCGTGTTATGACCTCTTGCAGGTCACCAGCTAGCTATCTTCTATAGATCACCAGCAAGCCCTGTTGTAGTGCCTGTGCACTACAACTTCCCCCCTTGCCGGACTGAACAAACCTACCCCAAAACACATTATTTTTGCCTTTTCAATCTCGATTCTCTTCTGAAGCTAACGTTGTGAGCGCATGCGGTACGCAGCGCTCCCTCCTCCCTCCTCGTCGAATGTTGCCCGTCCTGCAGGCGGTGAAAAGTGACGGATCCAAACCTCTACGCCTCGTAAGGACCAAGATTGTTTCGAGCCTGAAGACGTCTTCGCTGGCGGCGGCGCCAAGCGCGAAGTAAAGCCGGGAAGCCTGTATGGTGGTGAGCTGGCTCCCATGTGGCTTGTCTTCAAGGGACCCGTGCCACTTCATGAGGTACTGAGCTTCATCTCCTGAGCCGCGTTGGTCCATAATATAATCAACTTCACACTCCTCTGTTGGAGTGCCTGCTGCATCGCGGATAAGGGGACAGCCGACGTCGGCTTCCGGGAGAACCAAATCGCGAGGGCCGGGACGGTGGGGAACTAATTGCGAAACATGAAAAACGTTGTGCCATGCATAAGTAGGAGGTAAAGCGAGATGGTAAGCGACGGTGCCTATTCGTTCAATGATTTCAAAGGATCCTCGGTAACGGGACTCGAAATTAGGGCAGCTGCTGAAAAGCGGTAAGTCCTTGCTACTGAGCCAGACTTTGTCTTCCGCTAAATACTCCACGGCTCGGCGTTTCGTATGTGCGTAGTACTTCTGCTGCCATTTTGCCTTCTGTATGTGGCTCTACGCTCTGTCGCAGAGCTGCCGGAAAAGCTTAGTCATCGGAGGAGTGAGCGTACGAGCTAACGCGCCTACCATATCAAGGTTCGCAGCAGTCAACGGATTCTCGCCAATCATGACCTCGAAGGGAGATACCTCTGTAGATGAATGACTTGTCGTGTTGTAAGCAAGTTCCAGGGCCGAAAGCAAACGCTCCCACTCGCGTTCGTCAGATTGGATATAGGTACGAAGCATCTGCTCCAGTGTGCGGTTAACCCTTTCAGTCTGACCGTCGCTTTGCGGATGGTAGGACGAGGACATAGCCTGTTTGATGTTAAAGCGGTGACATAGTTGTTGCCAGAGGTCCGACTGAAAGTGGGGTTCGCGGTCCGATATGAGTACCTCTGGAAATCCGTGATAGCCGATAAGACGGTCTGCGAGAAGCTCCACGGTGTCTGCTGCTGTGAATGACTTCTTTGCAGGAACGAAATGAGCTATCTTGCTGGGGGAGTCGACCATCACGAGAATCGAGTCGTGCCCTGTCGTTGTAAGGGGAAGATCTGTGATAAAGTCAAGACACACGTGGGCCCATCGACGAGAAGGGATGAGTAGCTGTTGAAGAAGGCTTGCAGGTTTCTGGGTCAGAGACTTAGACGCACGACAGTGAGTACTGGATTCAACATACGCAGTAGTGTAAGTACGCATTCCTGGCCAGTAGTAGTGCTTGCTCAGAGCCGTGAAGCTCTTCTTTTGGCCTTGATGACCGGCTGTAACGTGGTCATGATGTGAGTGCAAGACATGCGTGAGGAACTCAGGGAATTGTGGAACACAGATTCGCCATAGCCCATGATTACAAATATGCAAGTAAGGCGGCACATAGCGAAAGGTGACGTGACGATTGCGAAACTCTATCTGTATAGCGTCTCCCGGTTGTTTTGCAGAGGCTTCGTAGGGAGCGCGGAAAACAGGACACTTCGAGTAGGCTTGCGGCCATTCAGGCGCCCCAGGAGGGTCAGCTCGAGTCTTCGTTGTAGGTGTAGGATGTTCCGCCTCTGGATTGGTCTCAGGCGGCGGAGGTGTAGGTGGTGATGGCAAGGTGCGTTGTCTGGATCGTTGCGAACGAATTCCGGCGAGCTCCTTGTGGTTGGCAGGCCGACCACGAGTGCAAGAAGCTGCGCGCGCTTGTGTTACTGCAAGCATGAGGGGTGTCGATGGTGTGTCGTGTGAGCAGGTGTTAGGAAGACCGGAACGGCGAAAGAAGGCATCAGCCACTTGAATGCGCGCTGCTTGAAGATAGGCGATGTGCAAATCCGGGAACTCGGCCAGGAAGTCTAACCAGCGGGCGGTGCGTCCGCGCAGAGGCTTCGATGCTTGGAATCGCTGGAGATGCGTAACAGCTTGGTGATCTGTATGAGCGGTAACTCTGGTGACACGGAGCAAATGAGACCACTTGTCCAGGGCCGTGACGAACGGCAAGAGTTCTTGATCGTACGCCGAGTATTTCTGTTGTGTGGGGTTCATAACCTGGCTGAGTTAACCGATGGGCTTGCCTTCTTGTTCTAGAACCGCTCCGATCGCGTAACCAGAGGCATCCGTGTATAACTCGAAAAGCCTCGTGGCGTCAGAAACTTGTAATGTAGTGAAATCGATTAAGCGCTGTTTGAGCTGCTGCATTGCCTTTGTGTGAAGTTCTGTCCATTTGGAGCAAACATCTTTACGTGTAAGATCAACTACAGGCCGCACAGCGTCTGCATAATCAGGTCCCATGAACATGCGACAGTAATTTATGGTGCCGAGGAACTGCCGCACTTGCGTTTCATTTTCCAGCACCTCTGGCCACTGCCGGATGGCTTCGATTTTGTCTTCTGCAGGTTTGATGCCTTCGGCCGTGATAGTATAACCCAAATATGTGATTGCTTGCCTAGCGAACTTGCATTTTGCGGAATTTTGGGTAGAATTGGTGTTGCAGGAAAACACTGAAAACTTGTCGCGGGAGGGAAACTGTAGTGCATAGTGCCTACTGCTGCGACTACGCTGCTACCTGCCCCTTGAGTAGGCCTATGAACAGCACCTAACGTTGGCCCATTTCCTTGAAGCAGTAGCTTATATATTATCGAAATACAGTTATTCTTAAGTTTCCAAAATCTGTTGTCGTTCGATTCGTCCCACTTGGGGTGCTCGCCTCCTAGGCCCTATGGGGAGAAGGCCTGCACTGGTGCCGGCGCTATCGCCAGCCCCAGTCTCCACGCATTTTCAGGCACCTCGAGCGTATGCATATTAATTCGCAGACAAATTGCCTTACTTTGATCCTAGTAGGAGGGCCCTGTCCTCTTCCAGTGTTGCGGCCCTTTGTAGGTCGCTAGCTAGCATCCGTCTATAGGTCACCAGCAAGCCCTGTTGTACTGCCTGTGCACTACAACTTCCCCCCTTGCCGGACTGAACAGACCTACCCCAAAACACATTATTTTTGCTTTTTCAATCTCTGTGCTTTTCTAAAGCTAACGCCGTGAGCGCACTCGGTGCGCAGCGCTCCCTCCCCCCTCCTTATTGAAGGGTGCCCGTGCTGCAGGCGGTGGAATGTGACGGACCCAAACCTCTACGCCTCGGAAGGACCAATGTTGTTTCGAGCCTGAAGACGTCTTTGTTCGCGGCGGCGCCAAGCGCGAAGCAAAGCTGGGCAGCCTGTAAGGTGGTGAGCTGGCTCCCATGTGGCTTGATCTTCAGGGGACCCGCGCCACTTCACGAGGTACTGGGCTGCACCTCCCGAGCCGCGTTGGTCCATAATATAGTCGACTTTGTATTCCTCTGTGGGATTTCCTGCTGCATGGTGGATAGGAGGCCAGGCGGCGTCGGCTGCCGGGGGAACCAAGGCGGGAGGGCAGGGGCGGTGGGGAACTAGCTGCGAAACGTGGAAAACGTTATGGCATTCATAGGTGGGAGGCAGAGCGAGGCGGTAAGCTACAGTTCCTATGCGTTTGATGACTTCGAAGGGTCCGCGGTAACGGGGCTCGAACTTAGGGCAGCTGTTGGAAGGCGGTAGCTGCTTGCTGCTGAGCCAGACCTTGTCTCCCACCGCATACTCCACTGCTCAGCGCTTTGTGTCTGCGTAGTACTTCTGCTGCCATTTTGCCTTCAGGATGTGACTATGTGCTCTGTCGCAGAGCTGCCGGAAAAGCTTAGTCATCGGAGGAGTGAGCGTACGAGCTAATGCGCTCACGATATCAAGGCCCGCAGCAGTCAACGGGTTCTCGCCAATCATGACCTCGAAGGGAGAGAGCTCAGTGGATGAATGACTTGCTGTGTTGTAAGCAAGTTCCAGGGCCGAAAGCAAACGCTCCCACTCGCGTTCGTCAGATTTGATATAGGTACGAAGCATCTGCTCCAGTGTGCGGTTAACCCGTTCAGTTTGGCCGTCGCTTTGCGGATGGTAGAACGAGGACATGCACCGTTTGATGTTAAAGCGGCGACAGAGCTGGTTCCAAAGATCCGACTGGAAACGGGGGTCGCGGTCCGATATGAGTACCTCTGGAAATCCGTGATAGCGGATAAGGCGGTCTGCGAGAAGCTCCACGGTGTCTGCTGCTGTGAATGACTTCTTTGCAGGAACGAAATGAGCCATCTTGCTGAGAGAGTCGACCATGACAAGAATCGAGTCGTGCCTTGTCGTTGTAAGGGGAAGATCTGTGACAAAGTCGAGACTCACGTGCGCCCATCGACGAGAAGGGATAAGCAACTGTTGAAGAAGGTCTGCAGGCTTCTGGTTAAGATACTTTGACGCTCGACAGTGGGTACATGACTCAACATAAGCAGTAGTGTAGGCGCGAATTCCTGGCCAGTAGTAGTGCTTGCTGAGAGCCGCAAAGGTCTTTTCCTGGCCTCGATGGCCGGCTGTGACATGGTCGTGATGTGAATGCAGAATGTGAGTAAGGAACTCAGGGAATTGTGGGACGCAGATGCGCCACAGTCCATGAACCCGGATGTGCAGGTAAGGCTCTACGTAGCGAAAGGTGAATTGGCTATTACAAAACTCGATTTGCAGAGCTTCTCCTGGTTGGTTTGCTGCGGCTTCGTAGGGAACGCGAAAAACAGGACACTTCGAGTAAGCTTGCGGCCAATGGCGCACATCAAGAGGGTCAGCGGGTGGCTTCGTTGTGAGTGTAGCAGGTTCCGGCTCTGGGTTGGGTTCCGGCGGCGCAGGTGAAGGCGCAGACGGCAGGCTGCGTCATCTAGGTCGTCGCGGACGAATTCAAGCGAGCTCTCGGTAGTTGGGACGCCGACCACGAGAGCAGGGAGCCGCGCTCGCTTGTCCTATTGCGAGCATCAGTGGTTCCGATGGTGTGTCGTGCGAGCAGGTGCTAGGAAGACCGGGACGGCGAGACAAGGCATCAGCAACTTGACTGCGCGCTCCTTGAACATACGTGATGTGCAAATCCGGGAACTCCGCAAGAAAGTCTAGCCACCGGGCGGTGCGTCTGCGCAGAGGCTTCGATGCTTGGAGTCGTTGGAGATGGGTTAGAGCTTGATGATCAGCGTAAGCCGTTACCTTGGAGACACGGAGCAAGTGCGAGAACTTGTCCAGTGCCATGACCAACGCCAAGAGTTCCTGATCGTAGATCGAGTATCTCTGTTGCGTGTGGTTCATGACTTGGCTGAGGAAGCCGATGGGTTTGCCGTCTTGTTCGAAAACTGCTCCGATCGCATAACCAGGGCCATCCGTGTATAACTCGAAGGGTTTCGTGGCGTCAGGGACTTGTAATGTAGTGAAGTCGATTAAGCGCTGTTTGAGCTGCCGCATTGTTTGCGTGTGAAGCTCTGTCCATTTGAAACTGACGTCTTTACGCGTTAGAGCAACCAGCGGCCGGGCAACGTCGGCATAGTCTGGTCCCATGAACATGCGACAGTAATTTATGGTACCGAAGAACTGGCGCACTTGCGTTTCGCTCTCCAGCACCTCTGGCCAATGCCGGATGGACGCGATTTTATCTTCTGCGGGTTTGATCCCCGTAGCAGAAATGGTATAATCCAAATATGTAATTGTTTGCCTCGCAAACTTGCATTTGCAGAATTTTGAGTAGAACTGGTGTCTAACAAAAATGCTTAGGACTTGTCGCAGGAGACAAACGTGCCCAGAGAGATCGGAACTATAGATAAGTACATCATCTAGGTACGCAATAACGCCCTGTCCCAATAAAGATTGTAAATAGGCATTAATGTTGGCCTGGAACGTAGCGGGAGCACCCTTAAGGCCAAAGGGCATCACGCGGTACTCGAATAGTCCGAGAACGGACCGGAAAGCCGTCTTCCACCGGTCTTCCTTAGCCGTACGTCTTTGATGGAATCCTGCTTCAAGATCCAAGGTGGAAAAATACTTGGCGCCTCCCAGCAGCTCCAGAATGGTTTGAAGGTAGTGGGAAATCGGGGGCTATCGTAAGGGTATTTAGAGCCTGGTAATTGACAACCATACGCATCTTCCGCTCCCCGGAGCCATAATCATGTTTGTCCACCATGATCGTAGGAGAGCAAATAGGCGAATAGGTCGGTCCGATCCAACCACTGTCCGACAATTTAGCTATCTGGA